TCTCTCCTTGCAAACTGCTATGATTTTAAAGAATGCTGGGCATGTGAGAATTGAAATTAATCCACCTTTATGATACCTTTTATTTTTCATATTTATGTTGACAACTTACGGCCGATACGGACAGAGCCATATCATCGGACTGCAAAGAAACAACTAAAAGAAAAACTCCTGTGTAGAACTACACTGCTCAAAAAAATTAAAGGAACATTTTTTAATCAGAGTATAGCATCAAGTCAGTTAAACTCCAGGGATATTGATCTGGTCAGTTAAGTAGCAGAGGGGGTTGTTAATCAGTTTCAGCTGCTTTGGTGTTAATGAAATTAACAACAAGTGCACTAGATGGGCAACAATGAGACAACCCCCAAAACAGGAAGGGTTTTAAAGGTGGAGGCCACTGACATTTATTTCCCTGCTCATATTTTCTGACTGCTTTTCACTAGTTTTGCATTTGGCTAGGGTCAGTGTCACTACTGGTAGCATGAGGAGATACCTGGACCCGGCAGAGGTTGCACAGGCAGTCCAACTCCTCCAGGATGGCACATCAATACGTGCCATATGATTTAAACGGTGGTTAAATTAATGATTATAATTATTATAATTAAATTAATTGAATTTGATTACCGTTTATCTAAGGTGGAAGTTTTTGGAAGTTTATTTTATTTGAAATAAAGGTGTATTCCGTGCCTCAAGGCTTTATTCGTTTTGCTAATAAACTTTCTGTTTCTTATTCATTTGGTTCCACAGCATTTACTGATTTTCAGTTTTTTACATTTAAACATTGTATAAGTTATTTGTTATTTTAAACACTGCTCAAAAAATTAAAGGAAAACTTTTTAATCAGAGTATAGCATCAAGTCAGTTAAACTCCAGGGATATTGATCTGGTCAGTTAAGTAGCAGAGGGGGTTGTTAATCAGTTTCAGCTGCTTTGGTGTTAATGAAATTAACAACAAGTGCACTAGATGGGCAACAATGAGACAACCCCCAAAACAGGAAGGGTTTTAAAGGTGGAGGCCACTGACATTTATTTCCCTGCTCATATTTTCTGACTGCTTTTCACTAGTTTTGCATTTGGCTAGGGTCAGTGTCACTACTGGTAGCATGAGGAGATACCTGGACCCGGCAGAGGTTGCACAGGCAGTCCAACTCCTCCAGGATGGCACATCAATACGTGCCATTGCCAGAAGGTTTGCTGTGTCTCCCAGCACAGTCTCAAGAGCATGAAGGAGATTCCATGAGACAGGAAGTTACTCTAGGAGAGCTGGACAAGGCCGTAGAAGGTCCTTAACCCATCAGCAGGACCGGAATCTGCTCCTTTGTGCAAAGAGGAACAGAATGAGCACTGCCAGAGCCCTACAAAATGACCTCCAGCAGGCCACTGGTGTGAATATCTCTGACCAAACAATCAGAAACAGACTTCATGATTGTGACCTGAGGGCCTGACGTCCTCTAGTGGGCCCTGTGCTCACTGCCTGGCACCGTGGAGCTCGATTGGCATTTTCCATTGAACACCAGAATTGGCAGGTCCGCCACTGGCAGCCTGTGCTTTTCACAGATGAGAGCATGTTCCCCCTGAGACAGACGTGAAAGGGTCTGGAGAAGCCGTGGAGAAAGTTATGCTGCCTGTAACATCGTGCAGCATGACCAGTTTGGTGGTGGGTCAGTGATGGTCTGGTGAGGCATATCCATGGAGGGACACACAGACCTCTACAGGCTTGACAATGGCACCCTGACTGCCATTAGGTATCAGGATGAAATCCTTGTACCCATTGTCAGACCCTACACTGGTGCAGTGGGTCCTGGGTTCCTCCTGGTGCACGACAATGCCCGGCTTCATGTGGTTGAGAGTATGCAGGCAGTTCCTGGAGGATTAAGGAATTGATACCATTGAATGGCCCCCACGCTCACCTGACTTTATGATTCGGTCCATCCAACGCCGCCAGGTTGCACTTCAGACTGTCCAGGAGCTCAGTGATGCCCTGGTCCAGATCTGGGAGGAAATACCCCAGGAAACCATCCGTCGTCTCATTAGGACATGCACCGAGGTTGTCAGGCATGCATACAAGCTCGTGGGGGCCATACAAACTACTGAGTACCATTTTGAGTTGCTGCAATGAAATTTCAGCAAAATGGACTAGCCTGCTGCATCATTTTTCACTTTGATTTTTGGGTTTGTCTTTGAATTCAGCCCACTGTAAGTTGATAATTTTCATTTCCATCAAACGATGTGGCATCCTTTCATTCCTAACATATTACTCTGTCCATATCAGTATACTGAAGATATCCAGCGTGATGTTTTCAAAGTGTTCCCTTAATTTTTTTGAGCAGTGTACTTTCTTTCACCAAGGATTTAAATTGGCTGTTAATAGTTAAACAAATACTCCCAAGGCTCTGTTACTAATTCTAAAACAGTACTTTAGAACTAGTAACGATGACTTAGACTGCTTCAGTGAAATTATTAGTGTGTTCGAGTGTATGTTATAAATCAGTATAATAATATGTCCGTGATGAAACACACAGGAAAACACACAGATCTCTCAAAAATAGGTACAGATTGTGCACCAGCACAGCTCCTCAGCGCGGATAAATCTAATGTTCTGATGTGGTGGCTGTCAGTCACTGCACTGGTGTGGATACTGAACTTCAGAATCACAGATTCTAGCCTACATCTTGAAAGTATGACCCAAATAAGAATTTTCACTGGATATTGTCATCTGAACAAGTATCAAATCTGCCACTTTTGTTCTGACCAACTGAAGAAAACAGCATTACAATAAATCACGCTACCAGCTGTGATTAAATCTAACGATCGCTTAGCTCATATCACATCAAACCATGCAAATTATTATTGTTATATTTTGTTCTGAAATTGTTAATGTTAACAATATCAGCACTGCGTGACTACATGTTTGTAGTGTGTGTTAGTGTTACATGTATATTTCAATTTCTGTACAGTCTAATCTCTAATTGTCATACCATTAGAATTTCATATAAAAAAATAGTTTTAACCCAAAAAGCTAATTATTCTTCCTTACAACTGGTTCTCTTTAAAATACAACTTGTGTACTTCCACGCATGCAAGGCCTATCTGTAATCAGGTGCACACTTAAAACTCAAATATAATCTAATTTCAGTCAGTTACATGTGTTTCATAAACACATAACCCTTTCTGGATTACAATCCGCCATCAAAATGATAAATTTAATTATTCCAGCTGCTGTGAGAAAAGGCTATTAATGATCCGCCACCTGCAGAATCCTCACATGTGATACAGCCTACTAGCCGGAAACAACTTCTTTATGTTTACAGAAGTGACGTAATGACGCAGCGGCATGCTTGAATTTCCCACAAATTCCTTACCAGTACCCTCAAATTAGAAAACATTATTATAAGCTTACCGTTGTGAATCTGGCTAAGGTAAGGCAACAGTTTTGAACACTGGCTGGTTATGTACTTGCTCAAAAATTTATTTTGGATCATTTTTAATCAACAAGCTTTAATGATAATTTTGTAAAATCCAAATAAGCTTTACAGATCTGTTAGAAAACACTCTCTGTCTTTTTGATGCCGTACCCCTCCTTTCTCTCTCCTTCTCTGAATCACCCCTCCTCTATCTGTTCTCTCTCTCTCTTGTATGGTGTTTGAATGTCTCTTACTCAATATTCAAGGTAAAGGAGTTTGTGCTGATTTATAAGGGGGGTTCAGCCTCCGTCGCCAGGAAGTCTATTCCTTATAGGGATATGTTTTTCTGTATATGTGGCAATTTTATACAAAACACATGTTCTTGGGAAAAACATCCTGTATGGGTATGTCCCCCTATCCTCATTGGTTAAGAGGGTAAAAACTCCCCTCGACATGCCTATATAAGATCTGTATTTCTGTGAATAAATTGAAGTATTTGAGAATACCATTTGAATGTGTGTTTTCTTACTTCCCGGCCGTATTTATACACTTGGAGAGACTGAGAAGATTTCACGGTGGCAAAGAGATATCGAGGGACCAAATTGTTATTTATTAACAAGATCATTACTGGAAAGGGTTTAAACAATATTTTTTATTATTTTTTATATAATTACTGCACATGTTCCTGTGGAACAATCCTTAAAACACTAATAATTTACAGGTGGTAGGCAATGAAGGTCACAATTATAAGAAATTATTACATTACATGATTACACCAGAAGAAAGATACCAAGGGTTCCTGTCCACCTGTGTGAACCTGCCATAGTCCTACTGCAGAGAGGCATGAGGACTGCAGATGTGCTCAGAGCAATAAACTGCAATTTCCATAATGTAAGATACCTAAGACCCATTTCACACATACTCTGTTTGCAGTGCAGATGTGGTGCATTATTTTTTTCTGTGCCCATGTTAACAGATCAGAGCATTCACACTGCACACGGATGTGGTCCATCAATGCATTCCAGATGCGGTGCATATGCAGCAGTGCAGTGATTGTTTCCACAACGAGACTGTGCTTCAAGCACTCAATTAAAATAAAAATGCACTGTTCGTGGCAAAAATGAACATGGATTGACACAAAATTGTAGTAATTACATCATAAATGCATATAAAGTCTAATACAAAGTTCTGCCATGAAACTCTAAATGGTGCAGTCTGATAGGGGTCCGATAGAGTGGGTATCTGACTAGGGAATTCATTGATGATGATGATGATGATGATGATACTAACTTTATTATAATTATAATAATATATATTTGCAGATTAAATTCAATTTTAAAAATTCTAACATTCATTTGAAGCACACTTTAATTTAAAGCGAGAGATATGGGTGAAGTTGGCTTATTGTTTCAGAGATATGTGACTGTGCTCACAGTTTATTGGCTCCAATATCTGTTTGTGATCTGTGACTGAAAACATAACTTGTCCTGAAGCACTCTGACTCTGTCTCCTATTGTACATTATGGCTGTAGAATTTTGTAAAATCATATTCATCTTCATGGTAAAGAAAATACAGAGTTAAATTAAACTCAAACTTACCTGGTCAAATGGTTGAACCCACTTTGTACTACAGGCCACAAGAGATTTTGGGTGGGACTACTGTTTGGCTGACCAGTGGCAGTTGGGGGAGAAATGTGGAAACCTGTTTAAAAACAGTTTGAAATCATTATTTTTGCACTTCCATTTGGTCCCACCAGAATGCAAATTGCACACTTCATCTTCAACTACAGTCAACCTTTTCAATACAACTACATAACTATTTATTTTTTTATTGTAGCTTTATTTTTGGCTCAGTTACCTACAGTAGCACATTCAATCAATAAGAAAATTGGTAACACTTTAGTATAGGGATCAATTCTCACTATTAATTAGTTGCTTATTAGCATGCCTATTAATAACATATTGGCTGTTTATTAATACTTATAAAGCACATATTTTGCATGGCCATATTCTACATCCCTAATCCTGCCCAATACCTAAACTTAACAACCACCTTACTAACTATTAATAAGCAGCAAATTAGGAGTTTATTTAAGGCAAAAGTCATAGTTAATGGTTTGTTAATACTGAGAATTGGACCTTAAAATAAAGTGTGACCAAAAAATGTATAAACTTAACTGTTAAATCCCACACTCATTAAAACTGTGCCACCTCAAGAAGATTTTGAGGTTCTTGTTGGTTTGTTGGCATGTGGGTGATTTCATGTGCAAGAAACGCTATCCACAAATTGTTTGCCTTAGTGGAAAAGTGCGTTGTTGCCAGATCTCGGTTACCAACAAAAAAAATGCATTTGATGCAAAACTAACTCCACTAAAGACACCTTGCAGAATGCCACTCTTGACCAAGAAGAACATAAAAGGCTGACTTGAATATGCTAAAACAAATGTGGGTACACATCGAGTTCTGAAAGAATGTTCCATAGAATGATGCAACCAAAAAGGAACTTGTTGGACCTATGAATTAGCAGTATGTCTGGTGCAAAAAAAGCAAGGCTTATAAGCAGAAGAACAGCATCCCCAACATGAAGGTAAACTACACTTGTTATGGGGGTACTTTGCTGTTACAGGAAATGAAAATCTTGGCTGTATGAAGGACATTATGGATTCTTTGAAGTATCAGACCATTTTGGCAACATCCCAGTGTGTGTGTGTGTGTGTGTATATATATAATGTCTGGTACTTTAACAGTATTCTTATCGGTACTTTTTGTTTTATATATATATAGTTCAAACAGATGCCATTAATACAGGTAACGAGTGGAGGGCAGAGGAGCCTCTTAAAGAAGAAGTTACAGGTCTGTGAGAGCCAGAAATCTTGCTTGTTTGTAGGTGACCAAATACTTATTTTACCGAGGAATTTACCAATTAATTCTTTAAAAATCCTACAATGTGATTTTCTTTTCTCATTTTGTCTCTCATAGTTGAGGTATACCTATGATGAAAATTACAGGCCTCTCTCATCTTTTTAAGTGGGAGAACTTGCACAATTGGTGGCTGACTAAATACTTTTTTGCCCCACTGTACATTAACTTCATTAACTAATTATTTTACACACACCCACACGTGTGTGTCTGTGTGTGTGTGTGTGTGTGTGTGTGTGTGTGTGTGTAAAATAAATTAATATAAAACATAAATTTGTAAATACTCCAGTGTGCAAGCATTTTTGGTGTTTTATATAAGATAAAATACAGTATTGTATTGAACAGTATTGAGTTGTTATAAGATAAGATATAGGATAAGATATAATAAAAAAAATTAATTAAGGTCTACTAAAAGTTTTTGTTCAGGTAAGTATTATAGCCTAAAAAAATCTTATAAAATAACCAAATGTACAATAACACTGCTTAGTTTTCACTGAATAATTTGATAGATTAATGCTTATTAAAAGCTAACGTTATTCAGATTAAGAGCTGTGAGTGATTTTCTCTTTGCATTTTGTTGTTTGATTAACATTGATGGCCCAGGTGACTGCATATATATTGACACACATCGAATTTTCTCGCAGCTGTTCATAAACTAAAGACTAAGTGAATACTCTCCAAGCCGGCCATTTTGGCATATTTCTGTGTTTATTTCATTGTTTGGACGCACACTCGAGCCCAAAGTGTAATCTTATTGCCCGTTTTGGAGCGTGCACATAATTCAGCCTGGGAAACTGTGTTTCTTGTGCAGACTGTGCTTTCAAAATGTTATCAAAATTGTCTCGCAATTTAGAAACAGTAAAGACTGCATTTTGCAACAATCACGATTGCGCTGATCCTGATGTTAAGTTTGGATTTTAGGGAGGAACAAACATGCGCCACTGTGAAGGGAAAGAAGTTGCGCTAGACGAAACGCAGCTAGTTTTTAATAGTTTTACCTCATATCTTCTTTTTTATGAGCCTTGGAAGCCAACATTGAAATCAACAATAAAATTGGCTTAATATCACACAGCCTCAGGCCTAAAGTGCAAGCAGACATTTGAATATTTAGTTCTCTCCTCTGTCATCACAATTAAACAGGGCTTTCATTTGTGCACTCTGTAGCTCCTGTATTTTCTTATTTTCTCCAGAACCGACTGCAGAACCTTTAACATCAGAGCTTATCGATACACCGGTCTTAAATAATTTAGCCCAGGCCCATTTAATGCTGGGTTTCGGTACCTATACACACACATATTTGCTATACATTCTATTTGTCTCTTCAAACACACTAATGTGTCCTTTTTTATATGTACAACAATAAGATCAGATGGACAGATTCTACTGAAGATTCACATGGAATAAATATGACATTAATAACTGGAATAGTCTGAACAGTATAGCAGAAAACAAAAGTAACAAAGACTAGAGTAATTTCAGAGAGTTGCAGATATGTGGTCATGATTGGCATGTGCTTGGATGCCAAGCGGAGATCCTGTCAGGGACAGCAAAAGACAGTTTTCTTAAAAACAGTAGGACAGCGTTGTCTCACACAGTGCCTGTCATACACTGCCAGACTCATATGAGGCCCACCAGCAAACAAACTCCCTCCACTTTCAGCTGGCACTAGTTTTGTCCTTGAGAAAGATGGAGAAAGATGGAGAAAGATAGCGAGAGAGGGAAATTGGGGGGAGGATTGAAACACAGAAAAGAAATGCATCATAAAACTTTTTTTTTTAAATTATTGTGCTAACACCACACAACATTGTTAGTTATTTGCAGTGATTTAATGTAACAAAGTAATAATACTTTGTTACAGTACTTAAGTATTTTTTGGGAGTACTTTACTTTTTTTTATTTCTGTCAACTTTCACTTTTACTAAACTACATTCATAATTAAAATGTATACTTTTACTCCGATACATTTCCCCGAAGCATATTCGTTACTTGCTACAAAATAAAGTTGGAAGAACACAGACTGCAAGGAAGAAGGTTTGATGAATCAGTGGTTTGGCATCTGCAAGTTAGACTCCGAAAAAACACCTTTGCTCATGTGCAAACAAGTGCGCGTCACAACCGCGGATGATTTCATTTTCCACTCAAGTCGAGGCTGGTGTGTGCGATATACAGTATATCATCTGTGATAATATGGTAAGTGTTGTTGTAATGACGTGTGATCTGGCATTATCGATTACTGTATATCACCTTCACCAAATCACACACAGAGAGTGCACGCACGTGATTTATTAATCTATTAAAATGTCAAATTTAAGGCATTCTGACTTAGCAAAAATGCCTCTGTATGTTTTTTTTTATAATAATACAATTTAATATAGTTAATCTATATCACACAAAGAGTGACGTTTTTTTCTCCAGATATCAGCATGATAATAAATGTAATAATAATTTTATACAAGTTTAAGTTAGCATTAAGTGACTTACATTTTAGACACAATATTTCCTGTTTTTACTCAATTTTGCCAACGAAAATAGTTCCAAACAAAGATCACAACATTGTGTTGCGTCTCTGAGCAATGGACGGTGTTTACTTATTGAATGAATCAGCTTTTTTAACTAATTGGTTGAATAAATGATTCAGTGAATCAGTCATTAACACAGTCATGCTTTGTTCCTGAATGAATCAGCCATTTGAATGATTCACTCATTAACCGTTAGCCTACTTGCTGCCACCTACTGGTGGTTTTAATGTCACATTTCGACAAATTTTTTTTCATGTTTTAAATCATTTCAAATATCAGTATTCAATGTTCTATGTTTAAAACAAAGAATTATTAATGCATTTGTACGTGCAGGTTAAATGCATCCATGTCCCATCTGAGCTACATAAAACCGTGTAAATACATCTAAATGCCACTTCAGGTGCAGATTTCAGAAATGTTTTCTTATTGAAATGAAAGACACTAAGTACCTGATGAAGTGCTTCTTATTCTTACCATTCTTATTCTTATTCTAAAGCTACAAATTGGAAGAAATAGTTAAAACTGAATACAATCTTGCTGTTAAAGCTGTGTATAAACACACACACACATATATATATATATAATGTTGAAATTAACATGAACTAAGATTAAAACAAATGCTGTGGAAGTATTCATGCTTAGTTCATATTAACTAAAGTAGTTAACTAATGAACCTTATTGTAAAGTGTTACCAAATTCCCCTATATATATACAGGTGCATCTCAATAAATTAGAATGTCATGGAAAAGTTCATTTATTTCAGTAATTCAACTCAAATTGTGAAACTCGTCTATTAAATAAATTCAATGCACACATACTGAAGTAGTTTAAGTCTTTGGTTCTTTTAATTGTGATGATTTTGGCTCACACTTAACAAAAACCGACCGATTCACATCTCGACAAATTTGAATACTTCATAAGACCAATAAAAAAAATTAGCCTTGGAAAGTATGTTCATTTACTGTACATGTACTCAATACTTAGTAGGGGCTCCTTTTGCTTTAATGACTGCCTCAATTCGGCGTGGCATGGAGGTGATCAGTTTGTGGC